ATATTTTTTTTATTTCCTAATTTCTTATGGTGGTTGTGAGATTGTTCAAATTTACCGAACCTGTACAGAGATTAATTACTGAAAATAACGGTTAAAATATAAAGTTTTTTCTTAAAAAACGTTTGATAACTATTTGAACATTATAAAGATTTTGCATATGAAATTAAGGAAATTTTCTGGTACATATTTTTGATCTTAAAATAAAAATTACTTTGCATGATAGATAGGCAACATGTGAAAAGAAAAAAGGCATGAGAAAAACATTGCTTTACAAACCTTAAGACTTGATTTAAAAAATGATATTTTGCGTATGAAAGCCTTGTAATGTTTACTGATAATCTGCCAAATTTCATTAACATTTGGTTACTAATTAAAAACCAAAGTATGAAAACTATAACAAGCACAGAATGGTTACGAGGTCGGTCGCAAGGATAAAGCCCGTGCTGAAAGAGTTAATAGATACAGAACAACTGAAAAGATGATTGCTATAGATTTCTAATTAATGTGTACCTACTGTGCATAAACTGTAGAGAATAAAAGTAATTTTCATTTATTCTAGAACTTACAGGTAACAATTCTGTAGAGTTCGATACAAAAGTGATAATGATCTTATATTTCTTGAGATGTGTTAACTAGTAGTATTTATGTTGATTTTAAGTTTAGTATTCTATTTGGCTGTCTGCTTTAATAGTGACTTTGATGTTTTAGTAAACAGAAAAACATTCACAGATTAAAAAGCATATTAAGTGGTAATAAATAGTTTTCAAGCTTTCAGTCTTTGGGATCCAAAATGTTTTTAGGAGACTGAAAATGATAGAAGTTATAGGTTATGTTATTTTGGGACTTAAATGTGAAGCATTGTACATTGTTTTTAAGGGGTGAAATATAAACTCATTTTCAAGAGAGCTATGAATAGTCTGTGACAGTCATTTTTTTATTATTTTATATCCATCAGGTTATTCATTTTGTGTGGGTGGGAGGTAGTACAGAGGGATATACATGATCGGTGATATGTAAACCTCACAGTCTTTATTACTGTCGCCAGTGGCTCTCCACCTTATGAATAGAATGCAGGTATTGCATTGGCACATATACTAATGCACCTGATATGTAACAGACCATTATAGCTGCACAGATGGCTTTAGATTTGGCTATGAACACTTAATTCTGTGTACGTTATCTTGTGAACAATTCTTATATTGGCTGCAGTGGGCCACAGTGAGCCCAGATTACTTCCACTGACAAGTTTCATTCCTTTCACTACATCCATTGTGCCACTGGTAACTGGTTTTGGAGTAGCCTGTTTTTTTCCCTTTGTGGAATCCCACCTTCAATTACTTTAGTAACAAGGTTTAATACTAAAGCTATTCGTTTCTTGGAAATACAACAATTTAATGCCTGGCATCTTTTGATAATTGGGAACAGGAAAACTTCACATTGGACAGTCCCATAATGTAACCAGAAGTATCATTTTCAGACATAATCTGAACTGGCAAAAATCAACACACTTCAACTAAATTTCAAGATCAGGGCTCTGTTTTGTAACCTTTGTTATGGGGACAATGTGATTTGATATGCAAATAGTTATCATTATCAAATCTTTGTATTTTGAAATGTGGTTGCAATAATAATTGTTGAATGATGCTTAACCTTCTTGTCCCGGGTATCTTTTACTGTGCATGGTTTTTGCTGTTTTACATTCAAAATTTTATAAAACTAGTTTTTGTTTATGTTATATATGTTATACCAACTAGTATAGCATAAAATCTCAGCTAATAATCTGTATTTTAATAGTATATAAGTTTTAAGTTCTTAGTTTTATAAGTCAATATTTAAAAAAATCATGTGACATATTTTTTCTAGGTATCTTCTTATCTCTATTTTATCCACCACCACCACCCCAGAAACTACAAAATTAAATGTAAATTACTCACTTATAAGATCGTCATTGCTCAGACAAACCATAATTTTTATAGCCTTCAATTTTGTTTATTTACAGAGCTATCAAATAGAAAATCACGCCCCTCCTCTACCACACCCACCTGTCACATCCTTTCTTTCAGGACTTGTTAATAGTTCTTTCTTACCATTAATTATATATTACCTATAACCAACAGAAAGACAAGGTTTTCATCTATCAAATGATGTATTGTATAATATTGTTCTGAACAGATAATAGTCAATTTCACTTCTAAATCAACTTTGGTTCCCACGGGAATCACAACAGCTAGCTTGGATACATTTGTAACAACTCTTGTTGCATAGTTGAAAAGCCAGACAAATTATGATTGTTAGGGGAAATTGTTTGCTTTTAGCATGTTATTAGTCTATGTTCTTTGGTGAATTATTTTATTAAATAAAACTTATTTAATGCACTACTACCATTAGTTTAAAAGTGGGTTCCTCATCATCGAATTAGGGTTAACTGTCATTGATAGTTGAGAGCAAAAAAAAGAATACTAGGTAAGTACTTTATTTCTTGTTTTTTATGTTTATTTTTTATTAAAAAGATAACTAAAATTTAAAACAGAGATCTCTAGGAAAGTTACAGTTAGATTAGGTAAAATAAACACAAATGTAAATACAATATAAATATTTCATGAGGCACACACGCGAACAGCTCTGAGTAGCTCGTGGGTAATGTAATTTGACTTACAACTAGTAATGGCGTGAATAGTAGTTAAACACGGTTCAAAGGGAATAAAAAAATAAAATTTAATTATACTGTTACAAGTTTAAAGCTACTTAGGACAGATGAATGCAGTTTCATGCTACATTTAAAGCCATTCTAGAAAGAAAAAAAGGTGATGGTGGTGGTTATAAAGTCAGTCAAATTGTCGAACCTTGTATAGAGTTAGGGTATAGAAAATAACAGATTAAATATAAAGTTCTACTGAAAACAAAAATTTGAAATGTATTTAGATTGATTTAGAGATTATACAAATGCAATTTGAGATGAAGAAAAGTATTTTTAATCTTAACATGAAGATCACTTTGCACATGGACTACTCAAAACAAATACTTGACGTATTCAAGGACAAATATTTTTTTAGTTTATTAAAAATACTTCACTGAAAAATAAGATTTTTTTGTATGTGAAAGGCCAAATTTCATGAAGATATATACACTATATTAAAAGTTAGTAGTATCTAATCTATAAAGACTATACGAATACAAAAATGTCACGTGGTCAGTCCAATTGACCGAGCCCATGTGGAGAGAGTTAACATGGGAGTGGTTTTCGATTTATGTCCTCACTGTTAAGTCAGTGTAATAAAATTAAGAATTTTATGTCTGTATCACCTCTTCATACTTAAACTATCTGCTGGATTTCAATCCTAGAATTACAGATAGGGGTTCATATAGAGTCTGTTGAGTTTTTAAGTGGTTTTCTAAACTATTTCAGCATCAAATTGCTTTTAGGTTCATGAATTTGTTGGTTACAGGAACCTTTAATAATAACATACGAGTCATACAAAACATTTAAACAAAAATACTGATAGGTGTTGCAATTAATCCTGCTAATCACTTCTTGCATTTCTTATGTTTTACTTATGATCTCACCCAATTTTTTAATCTATTTTTACAATGTCATAACAGAAAATAACCCATAAAATTACTAAATATGGTATAATATGAGGACTGTATAAAAACAAGCCGATTATTTGAATATTGTCATTGACAGAAATTTGAGTAGTCTCTTTTTATTTTGAGATTAGGTTTAACTTTCACCGTTATTTTTGTGTTAAACTTGCCCAGTACTTGGTGTGAATTTACACATAAGGAGCAAGTATTATCATTATGTGAAATTTTTTGGGATAATTTTTGAAACTTCAACTGGTTTAGCAGTGGCCTTACGAATGTAAAGCAAATCATATGTTAGAAAAAGAAAAATAGATTGTGTAGTAAAAGTTAATTTGATTTTAAAAATTGTTAGTTCATTTGGTGGATGTAAGCAGACCTCATATAAACTTTACTATAGAAATGTATATTTTACTTAATGACATTAATTCCCCTTTGAAAATACATGGCAATACAAAACAGAAGGCATGTAATGTCAATATTTAATAAATACATTTCATAATAAAACACAGTACCAGTCTTTCACAGTATGGATGCTGCTTTTTAGTGTATGAATTAATCTTGAGAAAAATGTAAATTTATTTTTAGAATTGTTGACAACTTTGAAAAACTTTTATATTTTGTTTTCTCTTCTTCTCATAGTAATTTTTCTGTTCTTCATACCAGGTGATTATTGGAAAATTCTAAAAAAGGGTAACCACAGACAAATCATCCTGCATGTTTTCCTTGGTAATAGTATTTGTCATATAATCTCTCAGTGATAAGTATGAGTGTATCATGTTATTACTGTGCTATAACCATTGCCACTCCATTTGAAAAGCAGTGCCCCATCTGGCTATCTTTGTTGGCTTGGATTATTCTAAGGCCTCTTGGGTCCCATTAAATTTGACTGAACTATTAAAACTAATTATGTTATAAATAAAATATATTGCTTACTTTTCTGTGATGTCTAGTTATAGGCATATATACATTTAGAGAGATTTGTCATGATGGATTAGATTCTAGAATTGTACTTCTCAATATTCTAAACTGTTTATATAATGAGCATTGTCTTTTCTATTAATTTTGTAACAGATGTGCAGAAGGTACCCAGGTTTTCTTCGAGTGGCTATTGCAGATCCACAGCCTGATCGGCGTTTTTTTAGGAGGGGGTGGGTAACATTTGAGAGGTCAGTGAATATCAAAGAAATCTGCTGGAACCTCAACAACATTCGGGTTAGTTGAAGCAATAGCTTAACATTTTGAAATACAAATTAAACTTTTTAGTTTAAAAATGTATACATTTGTTTTACCTTAAGAAGTGTAATGAACTCTGAGATTAAATAATTTATTATTCTCAATTTTCAAATTGGTTTACTTACTACAAACACAAGCATAAATATAACAATTCTTCAGTATTAATTTTCTGATATTTGTAGTGAACTTTACAAAAAAAATTATAAACTGTTAACAGCTTCGTGACTGCGAATTGGGGGCTATTGTTAATCGAGATCTAAGTAGAAGGATTCGTTCTGTGAATGGAATAGCTTCTCATAAGCAAGTGGTTCGATCAGACATCAAGCTAGCTGCCAGAATCATCCAGAACTTAGATGGTCAAAGAAACCTGTGGGATGAAGGGGAACTCAAAGAAGAGCCTGAAAAACCAGTGTGTATTACATGTTTATTTCAATATCCATAATTGTTACCTACATAAGTGAAATAACATCAATGGTTTTGAGTTTAACTGAAAAACTGGCAACCAATTATATATCTTGCATAAAAGAAATAAATCAAAATGGGGATTTGTGTACAGTTGAAGATATAAAATCAGTGGTTAATCTGTAAGACTAATATACCGTGTTCTAACTATTTCTGCATTGGAGGTGTTCACTAATATCCCCCATGGTTTTAGTTTTCTTCATACAGTGGAAATACATAACTAAATTATATGAAACTTAAGAAACTCTAAATGGTATCTAATTTATGCTTAAAAATATTTATATAATTTGATTCAGTTTTTGTATTATTTGTTAGGTTTATAAACTTCCCAAAAAACACTTTCGTTTAGAATTTCAATTTGTATTTGATCAGAAAGTTCCATTTGATATATATATCCAATCACTTTCAACTTTTGTTTGGTATTTATTAATACATTTGTGCTAGTACTTTGCAGTTTGATGCAGGCTTTACTTGCAGCTATAAATTATACAAAGCAGAGCAAAGACCTGATAAGATTTATCTGCTATGTAGGATTGCACATTTCAAAATGTAATAACTGGAAACTTTGTCTGGCTAGGCATCATGATTTTTGCTTATAGTATTCTGTGGAACAGGATCAATTTATATTTATTTAACGTAGTTTGTTAACAGTATATAATACTATTCTTTGTATGTATTTAATTACTATAAACTTAACAATAATATCCAGTAAAAAAAAGGATTTGTGTCATCTAAATAGGTTGTTGTCCTATATCGTACTTACTAAACCTAAGTAAATTTATCTAACATCTTGTCACAGAAAAAAATTTCTGTAACATTCTAGCACACACACAATTTAACACAAATGGTTCTCATGAATGAAAAGAATGTCAAGAGAAAATCATTATATATCCCAAATGCTGTCAATTTCATATTAGGATCCTTTATTCACCCCTATAGAGGCTCTGGGTAATTAATATCAACAAACCACACATTGTTGCTAGAACTACTTTATTTACTCTATATTGATGGAGCTAGATTAGAAATCTCTTCTATCCAGTCATTCTAGCCATTGGCTGTAGCTATTTTCAAAGCTAGGCTTCATGAATAGTTGTTCAGACCACATACTATAACATAAAATGGTGACAAAAAAGGGTTGAGTTTATAAAACCACTAACAGGGAGGAAAAATTACTTAAGAAATAAAACATGGATTGTTATTTTTTCAAGGAGTGAATTGTAGTTTCTTAGCTAATATAAACCTGTACTTTGGAACTAGTATAAAAATTCTAAAAAAATCCATAAATGCATTGTTTACAATGAGGTGTACGGAACCTTTTTTTTCTACATTTCTTTTGTGATATACACAAAATATTTTAAGTAATGCTAAAATATTAATTCTAAATTTCTAAGTAAATATTTGTGAAATAGAATTATATATTTTTTAATTTGCTTAATTTTTGGAATTTGATAAACGAGTTTGCACTCAACACCTGAAAGATGCTCACTAGACGTAATAAGGTTCTAAATTGTATACTTTAATGTTTATTGATTATCCCTTTCACTATGGACATCTTTTTCTGCACATGTTATGAGGTTTTATTGAGTTAACCAAAATTTAATTAAACTACTTTCTTATCATGGTATGCAAACAAACTTGGCATAAACATGTAGCTAATATTTTATATTTTAACCCTATTGCCACTGGTATACTTTACTGCGCATGACTTAGTGTCTTACATTCAAAATTTTACATTCATAAACTATTTTTGTTTATGTTATACCAATCGGTATAGCATAAAATCATAGCTAATAATCTGTGTTTTAATAGTATATAAGTTTTAAGTTCTTAATTTTATAAGGCAATATTTAAAAAATCCAGAATTTCTCCTAGTGTGACATATTTTCTCTAGGCATCTTGTCTTTTCTGTTTTATCAACCACCACCCAGAAACTACGAAATTAAATATAAATTACTCACTATAAAATCATCATTGCTCAGACAAACCATAATTTTTATAGCCTTCAATTTTGTTTGGTTACAGAGCTATTGAATAGAAAATCACACCCCCTCCCACCATACTTGCCTGTCACATCCTCTCTTTCAGGATTTGTGAATAGTTCTCTCTTATGTTTAGTTATACATTTCCTATAACCAATAGAAAGTCAAGGTTTTCATGTATCAAATGATGTATTGTATAATGTTGTGTTCTGAACAGATAATAGTCAGTTTCACTCAGAGTACAAAGCAACGTATGCATAAGAAACTTAGCAACTAGCTTGGATGAGTTTGTAATGGTTCTTATTGCAGTTAGAAAGCCAGAAAATTTTTGGGAGTTAGGGATATTGTCTACTTTTTGCATGTTATTAATCTATGTTCTTTGGTGCATTATTTAATTTTAAAAAATTCATTTAGTACATTACTACCATTACTATAAACAAGTAGGGTTAAGTGTCATCGACAATCAATAGCAAGAAAAATGAATATTGGGTAGGTACTTAATTTCTTGTTTTTCATGTTTATTCTTTATTTATTATTATAAAAGTAACCAAAATGTAAAAATAGGGATCTTTTCAGGTTAGATAAGATTAGATTAGGTAAAATAAATAATTATAATATAATAGAATTTTTTTGCAAGGCACACTCACAAGTAAGCTTGTACGTAATGTAATTCAGATAATGTACCGTGAGCCGCATGTTCACCAAGTGATTTATAACTTATAATGACGTAAATAGTAATTAGGTTTCAAGGGGCAATAAAACGATAAAAGTTATCTATAAATAGATGAATACAGTTTTGAGTTTAAAACTATTTCAGATAAACAAAAGTAGTTTCATATTACAATTTGAAGTCAATCTAGAAAGAAAAAAAGGGTAATTTAGATTTTATTTGGTGGTTAAGAAGTCAACCAAATTAACCAACCTTGTATAAAGGTAGGGTAGAGAAAATAACAGGTAAAATAGGTAGTTTTACTGAAAAAAAATGTTTAAAGTTTGCTTAGCAGGTTTTAGGGATTACGCAAATAAAATTTGAGATTTTTGAGACAAATAAAAGTATTTTTAATCTTAACATGGAAATCTTTAGTAAAAATACTTCATTAAAAAGTCTGACTTTTTGTGTACAAAAGACTTGTAATGTTCACAAAAAGTCTACCAAATTTAAGAAGGTACACAAAGTATATTAAAAGTTATACTATAAAAACTATAATGAGTAAAAAATGGTTATGAAGTCGTTAGATTCAACCGACTTCATAGCAAGAGAGTTACACCTAAAGCCTACACTTACCATGACTTTCTTTTATTGGTGTACAACTTTTTTTTTCTGTGCTTAAGAGCTCTTTATTAGTTGACTTAGTACTCTGTCCCTAATGCTAAATATATGAAATTTTGTGCTTTCACAGAATTGTTATAGTAACCTGAATTTTAGAGGTTTTTTTTTATATTTTATACAATTATTTTGTTACTGTTTAGTATTTTTATTGAGTCAGTTTTCTCTAATATATGATTGTGTGTATACCATATCTATATCATCTATGCATTCATTGCAGACATTTGGTCTTGCATCCAAAAACCCATTGCTAAAGAACATCACAGACTACCTGATTGAAGAAGCAAGTGCTGAGGAGGAAGAACTACTAGGGACATCTGGACAAGATGAGAGACGAGATCAAGAAGAGGGAGGTTCTACATTGGAGAGAGATGACACATTGATTAAGGTAAAACAGCATATGTATTTGTGTCATATAACCATAAATATAGGCTAAAGTAAAACTGATGGTGTGTAGCTTACTAACAAGCATTAGACTTAACTAGTTAATTGACTGTGGGGAAAAATATGTACTGGTGTTAACTATGGGTTAAGCTGAAATAAAATATAACTAGACTGCCCAAAATAACATTCTGTTTGTGATGGAGTTTCTTCCTGCCATATAGTTTATTCTGTGACTTCTAAATATTCCTTCATTACAAGCACTAGGTTGGTTTCTTATGGGTATCCTTTTCTGCTCATGTCATGAGGTTTTATTGAGTTACATTCAAAATTCAATTACATTACTTTATAATCATGGGATACAAATAAAATTGGCATCAAAATGTAGCTAATACCACACATTTTAATATTATATAAGTTTTAAGTTTGTAATTTTATAAGGTAATATTAAAAGAAAATTCCTCAATTTCCCATAGTATGATAATTGTTACATTTGCTCTCTAGGTCTTTTTCAATTTATTTACCACCTCTTCGAGAAGTACAGAATGTAATGTAAATTACTCATTATAATGTTGTTAGTACTCAGGCAAAGCATAATTTTATAGCTTTCAATTTATAAGCTAGAAAATCAGATCACTTGCCACACCCACTCATCACATCCTTTCTTTCACAAATTGCCAACAGTTATGACATTTAGTACTAAATATTTATAACCAATAGAAAGTCAGTGTTCTAATTTATCAAATGACATATTATATTACATTGTTTTCTGTACAAAGAATTGTCTATTTTGCTTCCAGTTCAAACTTTATTCACATGAGAAATGCATTGTGTTTTGTTTTTTTCACATAGTTAGAAAGCCAGAAAAATTGTCTGCTTTTTATGTGTTATTATTCTGTGTTCTTATTGCATGATTTAACTGAATAAAAATTGATTTAGTGCAGTAGTACCATTGGTATAAAAAAGGTTAAGTTTCACTAACAGCAAAAAAAAAGAACCAGATAAGGACTATATTTCTTGTTTTTCATGTATATTTTATTTATTTATCATTATAAAAGTAACTAAAATATAAAACTTAGAAACTTTTTAGGTTAGATTAGGTAAAATAAAGGATAAAATAATAATAACAATTTTCATGAGGTAGACTTGTGAGTAGCCCATGTGTTACATTATTTGATTGGGTAACCTGAGCTACAAGTGATTTACAACTTGCATGACTGGATTATTAGTTAGACACAGCTCAAAAGACAGTAAAAAAAATTTTAAGTAGAAACTGATGTATATTGTTATGAGTTTTAAACCATTTAGGATATACAAATGTAGTTTCATGTTATAATTTAGATTCATTTCATATTTTTTAATAGTGGTTAAGAGGTCAGTCAACTTGACCAACCTTGTGTAGAGTTAGGGTAGAGAAAATAGCAGATAAAATATAACGTTTTACTGAAAAAAGAAATTATTGAAATTTATTTAGGAGGTTTTAGAGATTATGCAAATGAAATTTGATAATTTTCATATGAAGAAAAGTCTTTTTTAATCTTAACATGAAAAATCACTTTGAGAAGTCAACACTCTTATTCCATATATTCATAGAGAAATTTTTAGGGAAAATACTTCATTAAAAAATCAAAATTTTTTAAAGGTACACAAAACAAATTAGAAGTTATAGTATGGAACTGTAAGGATCAGTTTGGGGTCATGAACTCAGCCGATTTAACTGAGCCTGTAGCGAGATTGTCAAAGAACCTCAAATTGATCCACTCTGGGCCTGGTATGGCCAGGTGGTTAGGGTGCTTGACTCGAAATCTGAGGGTCTTGGGTCTAAATCCCTGTCCTACTAAACATGCTCGCCCTTTCAGCCATGGAGGCATTATAATGTGATGGTCAATCCCACTATTTTTTGATAAAAGAGTTGGTGGTGAGTGGTGATAACTAGCTGCCTTCCCTCTAGTCTTTCATTGATAAATTAGGGATGGGTAGCTCAGATAGCTATAGTGTATCTTTGCTCAAAATTTGACAACAAACAAATAAATGATTCTTTCTGGAACTAGAATGTAAAAGTTACTTTTTTAGTTCAAAGTTGATTTCTTTTCTAGCTGAGAATTTCTGTTTAAGCAAGTCCTAAGAAGCTAGTTTGATTCCACGTGTTTCAGGTATTGGATCGATTGCTGCTCTACTTGAGAGTGGTTCACTCAATGGACTACTATAACCACAGTGAGTATCCTAGTGAAGATGAAATGCCCAACAGATGTGGAATCATGCACGCCAGAGGCTCGCCACCTTCCAGTAAAGTCACACAACAAGAAAGTATGCACATTATTTTATTAATTATTGTATGCAATTCAGTATCTGGGTGATTGTTCTTATTCTTGATACCATGTGAGATTTTAACTTCATTGATAACAAAAAGCATGTTTGGTTATAGACATATATGTGCAGTTTTGCACAAAGTATCTGGAAAAGCTTTTGATAGATAAGAACAACCAAAGTTGTTTAATTTTAACTTGAGGGGGAAAAAAGTTTTGTGACCTGCCCCTAAGTATTGTACTCCATATTTCGTGGATTAATGTTCAAAACTGTGAAGTAAATAAAGCTATAGAAATATCTTTTTGATTAATCAGTTCCTGTTGTAAATATTTATTGATTATGGCAGCTTTTGTGAAATTAAGAAATATTCTGTCAAGTAAGAAACGTTGCATAATGAATTATTTTAACAACTTCGTATTTGTTTTCAGTTATTGAATACATTAACAGCTTTGAACAAAGAGTAACACCGTATCTTCAACCTGCTATCAAAATATCTGATGAAGAATCTGCAAAATTAGGCAAAAAAGACCCAGAAGCGTATCCTTTTCTTGTTCAACAATATCAAGATCCTATGCAGTAGGAATTTATTCAATGAGTTTGAAGCAAGATTTTGGCTATTAAAGTATGCACTAATGGTTTTATTATTATTATTATTATGTTCACTCTTTTGTGTATTACATCAACACAGTTTTAGCCAGGTGTTAAAAGATGTCATATGCAAAAGAAAATGTAATAGAGAATTGTTTTTGTTTTTTTTTAGCAAATTATAGTTGTAATTTACCCTAGGATGAGAAATCAAAGTTTTTTTGTTTGGTTTTTCCTTGCACATTAACATTTTGTGGATCTTATTCACACAGTGCATGATCAAATACTGTTTTTGTTTTCCCACTTTCTGGTACGTGGAAGAACATTTTACATCTAGGATCCTTTGTTATATTAAAGGGTAAAAAGGATGCAAATGAACAAAACTGACATCATTCAAGAGTTTGTGAAGCAAAGTTTTTTCTTGATTAGTTTATATCAGTGAAGTTGAGAAGTTTGTGCAGTCTAACACCCAAGAACTTGCTAAGGATAAGTGGCTCTGCCCATTGTCAGGGAAGAAGTTTAAAGGGCCAGAGTTTGTGCGCAAACACATATTTAACAAACATGCTGAGAAGGTGGATGAAGTAAGGAGAGAAGTAAGTCAGACGTAGAAATTATTTATAGTTTGCAAATCATTATAGTTTAATATTGGGTCATTAATTTACTAATATGAACTTGTATAGCAAGTGCGATTTGGTCCATTGTATTTCAGTTACTCTTATTTTATAGGGGTAACATGATTTTACTACATAAAGGCATTTTTCATAGATTGATAAATGGAAAGGAAATTATAATTTAGTTGCTCAGATTGCAGACATTTCTTTAAATGTATTTTATTTATATTTGCTTAGAATAAAATATCAAAAAGAAATATGCTCAAACTGCTAACCTAAACCTTGTGATTTTTGCTCATGGATGGTCAAAATTCTACCTGCACAGATACAACTTATCAATGCACAAAACAATGCTTTGAATTTCTAGGCTTTGTACAAGCTTATTGCTTACCTTCAGCTCATATGTATATATCTGCAACTTTCATGGTTTTAAAGCTAGTAAAATCTATTTGTTACAGAGCTTCCTTTCTTTTTTATATGAATTATAAATATCTTAAACTTTTGGTTAGTACATCATGAAGCTGTCCCACATGTATGCTTTGAAATAATGTAAGTTCCTAATGATATATTGTTTATATGATATGGGAAATGTAATAAGTTAAAGTAATGGGTTTTTGTGCATGTTTATTTATTCTATTGAAATATTTGCTATTGATGTTCATTTTTGGTTTACAAAAATTATCACTGTTCCAACTTGAGACTGAAGGAGAAAGAAAGGCTAGTACCCAAAGTCCACAAAGAAAGTAGAGGCCTCAGCATAGGAAATATTTGAAACAGCTGTACATAATTTCTAAAAGGAGAAGAGAGGAATTTTATGCATAAGATACAGTGAGATAAATACTGTCTAATTATATTAATTTTAATGTTTGAGATAATATTTGATTACAACAATTTCTTTCAACAATGTGACCTAGGGCATGACATCATTAGACCTTTATAACAACATTTCTTAAGTCATGGTTCACCAGAATACGTGAAAGGGTCGCAGACAGATTTTGAAAACAGGTAGTATTTGATTTATATAGTATGTAAGTATTGAGTAAACTAGAAGTTGCCAACTGTCCATTAGTGCTTACATACAGGTCCTGAGCCAAAAAAAGGTTAATAACAACTGCTCTGTAGTACTGTTGTGTATAAAAAAGTGGCTTTCTGGTCAGCCTAATGCATAATGGTGTAGTATCTCAGCCATGCTTCATAGCATTTTTTATTTCACTATAAACTGTAAGTTTATATTTCAGAAGGTCCCATAGTTTATCATGCAGTATGTGTGAAGTGTGTTATAGGTATGGTAATGTGTATGAGTTATTAATTTTTATTAAGCTGTCAAGTATAATGCCACTGGGCTGGAAAAGGTTAATTAAGTTTGTGATTTAAATGTATTATGGAAAAAATATGGTACCTACAGAATGTGTTCATTACAACATTGATTACAATATAATAATATAAAGTTTGATATACAACTTCTTCTTCAGGTGGAATACTTCAACAATTACCTTTTAGATATCAAGCGACCCCAGCTTCCTGAACACCCGTCCAATAGGCCTAGTGGAGGGGGTAATCGGGGGGAAGGTCATGGAGGACCATATCATGGTGGAGGATACCCTGGTCCTCCCCCTTTTGGTGGCTATGGGGGTCCCAGGGGCCCAGGCTTTCATGGTAAGATATGAAATACTTAGTGTGTGTATATATATATATCAATAACAAATACTTTTGGCTTATATTGAATGAACAGGAAGATCAGACTAAGAAGAGATAAAAGGTCACATGAGAGAAAATTATTTATCTTATTACATATTTACCAGTTGTAATTATATTGATATTGCATGTCTTGTGTTTGAACAGTATTTATCTGACTGATCAGTGTAGCTCAGTTTACTTTATCACAGCCAATGAGCTCCTTTCAGATGTCATGTGTATAACTGCATATCAAATTTCATAATGAAAGTAAAAATAATAATCATATTAATTCTCTTTTTGAACTGAAAAATATTTGAGAATTGACATTTTGTAAAAGTTGTTTAATTTGCAAAGTAAAATTAAAAAATGTTTTAACTTTCACATCTATGCAACTTCTATGAGTTTCACCTGAAAACAAAACATCAATTTTTTTGCCCATCCCAAAGTTATAAATTTGTATTTGATAAGAAATTGTAATTTCCTGGAAATATAACAATCCATATCTTGATTTTCAAGTCATTTTCCTTCTTTCTCAGTCTTATTACTACAGCCTCTTGTTTCCACTCTTTTATAATGCCACACCATGTGCTCTGAATGATTATTAATGAAGATCAGCTTTCAAAATGGCTATAGTCCACATTTAAACACAATTAGATAGGCCATATTATAAACTTTTTACTCGATGTAGAATAAATAGTGATTTGTGGTTTCTCAAGATACTGAATTAAAAGAAAAAAAACTACAGGACTGGGAATTTTTTATAGTTTCTTTAGGTGTTCTTTTCATTCCTGAAAATGCTTTGTGTTATATTATGTAAATTAGAAAGCTACAAAAATTTTCTTCTAAGTCTAGCATATATTCTTTGGCAACAGCAAAATATTCCAATGACTCGTATTCTTATTTAGTGAATATTATTGTTTATTTTATCATATTCAAACAACAAACTCAAATAAAAGAACATATTTTTGAAAATAATACATATTTATTAGACATATTATAAATTGATATCAAGTAAGAATATTGTTAGCAAAATGCACGATACCTAGCCTGGCAAAGGTAAATGTGATGCTATTTTGAAAGATAAAATCTAGGCCATCAATAAATCTTTGTCAGTGTTTGCAATGGTTTTATGGTTTGTTACAAAAAGTAGTGATTATCAGTTATATTGAAGCTGACTGTAGATATGAAATGTGACTTTCTGATCAACAGTAAAAAAAAAAAACAATGGAAATTATAAGACAGGAAATATTTTTAAAGTTTTTCAAAACTTTGGAAATTTGACAACCTACAAAATTATAGAAATACTACATCAGATTGTGTGAATTTTTGTCAGCTGAATCAAGATACTATGTAGTAAGTTTTATGCAATGTGGTTCCATATCTCCACTGTGATAAGGAAAATGTCTGACAACATTACCAGTGATGCCCCTCCAATCCAGGAAGGGATAAAGGAAACATGTTGGAATCACTAAATATACTTTATACTCTGTAGGTGGCTATGGTGGGCCTGGATTTGGAGGAAGGAGTGGTTACTCTGAAATGTACAGACATTCTGGAGGCTTCAAGAGAAACTATGGACGGTAAGTTCTGTTGATAGAAATGTAAGAAGAAATGCAGGCAATACAACTGAGTTTAATGCTAATAAAACTGACAATATATAGTATTATATATACATATAATACTAAAATTAACTGTTTTATGAATGTCGCTTAACCCTTTCAAGACAGGTCATGCATGAAATGCCATGTCATCTCATTTGTTGACTCGCATTCAAAATTTTATTGAACTACTATTTCATGAATTTATGTCAGTAAGTTTGGTATCAAACTGTAGATTATAATTCAAATTTTAGAACTATACGTTACTAAATCTGTTAATTTAAAAGTAAATATTAAACAAACACAGATAAACAGTATGTTCAATGCAGCACTGGTTCAAAGTAGATGTTTGTGAAGTCAAAATACGAATTCCATAGTTTCATACGAATTAGAAACTCAAATTAAAGATAGTCACAAGCTAGAATATAAAATAAGGTCTTATCTTTTCTACTTACTAAGATATTGCTCACGTAATAAATCAAACACAGTGGCACCCTGCCCACCTCTTTCCATTTTTGAAACACTCCCTTATATATGTTTACTTCTATATATGACATGAATAACCAATCGGAAGCTCAGCATGTCCATCTAGTGGATTTTTCAGCCTTTCTAACATTCCTTCCACCATTTCTTTCTTTTGAACCATTTTTTTAGACCCAAATACAGCTTAGTTACTAAGCTTGATAAATTATAGTAGAATTCTATGATATTGATGTCATCTTTTAGTTATTCAAATGTATATATAAAACCTAAAAAAACATTTTGTTTCATATCCTCCACGTGAAAATTTTTAAAGGCTTAGTGACCTCCGTAAAGCAGCAACTGAATACAAAGGTTGTAACTAGAAGAGATAATTGTTTGCTTTACTTCTTCATTTACTATTCTATGTTTTAGGAACAATCACCTTAAGAACGTATTTCAAAATAGCAATAATCTATATACGTATATAATGTATAATAATTGAAATGTGACTGTATTTTACAGAATACTAGTCGACTAAAATACAGCCAAGACAAGTTACTTTGTACAGACAAAAGGTCACATTTATGTTATTTGACACCGTAACACGAGTGCAAGTTCAATATAATAAATATATAATGTTACAAGAATTAAGCTATTTGGTCTAAACATTCATGTTTTTGTGTTCATTCTAGAATGAAAGAAGCATAATTTATGTTTATTTCCTAATTTTTTATGGTGGTTGCGATATCTGTCAAATCTACCAAACCTGTACAGAGATTAATTACTGAAAATAACAGATAAATATAGTTTTTTCTTGGAGACGTTTGATAACTATCTGGTGCATAAAAGTATTTTTAATCTTAAAATGAAAATTACTTTGCATGATAGATAGGCAAGATGTAAAAAAAAGGCATAAGAGAAACATTGCTTTACAAACCTTAAGACTTAATAAAAAAAAAAAAGAGATATTTTGCATATGAAAGCATTGTAATGTTTACTGATAACCTGTCAAATTTCGTTAACATTTGCTTATTAATTTAAAAGTTATAGCATGAAAACTATAACAAGCACAAAATGCAGGGACCAAGCTGAAAGAGCTAAGTATAAATAATAGAAGGGAATTTTTGCCGAATCCGAGAGTTGACAGTTTAGTCTTTATTAAAAAGATTTTTTGAAGGAATATAGTAACCAGATTGCGTGAAACAAAATTTTTACACACTTTTTCCTTCAATTACTTTATTGATTCAGGTCTTTAGATTAATTTTATTTTGTATTTTTAGTGTCAAGCCTTTAGATTTATAGTTTTTTAATAACCAGCAAGAATCCAAAAAACAGAGTAGGCAAGACCATCTTCTGCTTGATTCTCTTTCAGTGGACAGTCTGATCCCAGGGAAGTTGTTGGCTATCATGATCTGGACGCACCTCCCGACCTGGAAATATTCTAAAAAATCGCCATTACTCAAAGCTCGAGTGGTCCGAGTGTTTTTTTACTCAACATCCAACTATTTATATGACCAGCCATCAATATGAGCTACTTGATGATGTATAAAGTTATGAATTATTACACTGCATTTTTTAATTGGTCTTAGTTTAATAAAACATTCATCCTTTTCATGACATGTTTTTTCATGTGTGTGTAGTAAGATTCACACTTACATGTGTGGAGTGAAGGAATTGATTCCAATACATTTCTCCATCTTTGCAGAAGAAGTCCTCGCTCAGAACCAAGAAAAATCATCACATACAGAGACCTTGATGCACCAACAGATGCTGACATCTTGTAGTGATTGATAATCAACTTAATTCATTTATTATTCTCATTTCTTATTTGCTTTTTTAATAAAAATCATCAGAATCATCACCAAATAGCACAGACATCCCACTGAAATTGTTTCAAAAAGGTATTAAAATTGTTTAGATAACCACTGTGATATATTTTTTTATTTGGTACTGTAACCACACAACTGAGTATTTATGAAATGAACAACTACAGTTATTTAATGGAAGAATTAAGATACACGGCTTTAAAAATGAGTGATTAAAGACTTCTAGTGGATGAATACTGTTTTAGTTAGTTGTAGTAATATTAGACTTCATCCAGTTTTAATGGGTTTTTTTAACTTGTAATTAAAATTTGTGTAGTAAATTTCACATATTGTGAATTAAACAAGTTTCTAACTTTTAAAACAAAATTACAAAGCGTGGAAGAATTTTATTTTTGAGACTTTCTTACGACATGAGGGTGAAAAGTTGAACCGAGTTTTTAAAATCAGAAGAATGTAAAACACTAATAGTGTTTATTGAAGCATTTCTCTTTTGTGAAGTATCTTCACTACCTATGTTAAAGAATAATACCTAGAAAAACAACATTGACATACTCCATACATATAAAGTTTTGTTAGCCAAATTTGAGTTACTGTTGAGCATCATTGTTTGTGAAAGCCTAATATTACTACAACTAAAGTGAAATTAACTTCACCATAAAAAAACAACTTGTATCAAGTTTCAAAGTAAGTTTGTAATGTTATTCCAGAAAGGTAAAAATTTTTTTTAATTGGGGGGTATAAAAAATACAGTATCAGTGCTTTTTATTTACATACCCTCCTGTCTTACAGTGTGATCAGGGGATGATGCACAATTTGTATGGTTATTTCTTTGTAAACAAGTAGAAATACATTTGTAGTCACAATTAAAACACCTAAACACAGTGCAAAGTGTTCAGAAAATAGTCATCCTCACTTTGAACATACAATGAAATAATTTTTGTGGAAATGTAGCACAAAACTTTTATTTATGAATAGCAGAATAACAATCTCATCACTTCATGGCTGGAGATTTATATTCAAATAGCTCTTTAGCACTCCAGTTAATGAACGATAGAGGCAAAATCGTTACGATGAAGAAACCACTTAAATTGTCAAATATGTGATAAAAGGTACAAAATTCAGACTAGATTGTCTCCATGAGAGTGCTCTAAGTTCTTGAAAGCATGAGTAGAAAATTTAACTGGATAATGATAGCTCTGTGGTAACAAACTAAATGTTTGTCAAAGATTTTTCATGCTTACACTATCCAACTATATGAGAAGCTTTCTTAACTTAAGCAATGAAACAAATATATTTAGATGTTGATTATTATAATGGAAGAAAAATGAACGCCACTAAACATGTATATATATGTGTATAGTAACAAAAATTGTTTTGTTTTTAAATACTTTTGGCAAGTTTCAAGGGGGGGAAAAACAGATGAAAACTGTTTGACAAACTAAATTATTTTATTTACAGATAAATCAACATAGATCTGATAAAGGTGGATGCATTACGAATTTATCCCTACTTCTCTCAACCACAATTACCAAGTTTTACAACAGCTTTAAAATCATATTTGAGGAGTATAGAGCAAGATTCATGAATTTAGTTTCAAAAGAATTGACCAAAATTTGTTCATTATTCATTTTCATCAACATATATTAAGTAATATAACTTAATTAAAATCAATATTATCTGAACTCAAGTTTGTTCTGCCACAGACAGACATTTCTTGTCAACACAGCATTATGCTAATAAGATACCTTTATTTGAAAGTTCTCATGGTCACTGTAGTCGAACCTTAATCCCTCTAGCATATATAAAATGCATTATGATATTAAGAAAAATCTATAAGCATTGGCTCACATGGTTGAAGACTTCTTTAGCTACAGCCATATTACAACTTGAAAAACTTAATGAACTAGTTAGATTTTTGTTGAAATATAAATGTCATAGTATTTTAACATTTCTTATATACCAACTTTATTTTTCTACAATTAATATTTCTACTAATTTATTGTGTCTTTATTCTAACTGAGATAGGGTTTAATTTGGCACTTTTTTAGCTGCTAGAGAAGATTCCATTAATATTAGAAATGAAAAAATGATTTGGTGCAAGTGAGTAGATCTTTTATTTAAGTGACCAGCTCAGTTCAATAATGATTAATTGCCTGGTATTGATACTTAGTGTTACATACTATATCACAGATCCACACAAAAACTGTAATGTGACTGAACACACACACTTCAAAGCTACATTATTGATTGTATATTTTATGTGATAACATGGACAAAATGCATTTAACAAAATCTGAAAAAGCTATTTCTTTGTGGTGACAAATTATTTATATTAGTTCAAAATGGAGAATGTTATAACAATTGGTAATAAAGTGAATTATTCTAGTTGACGGAACTTTCATAGTTGAGAACAATACAAACATTAATAAAAAATACAACTATGCATTCACCAACTGTCAAAATTATGAATACGGGTAAGATAAAAACAAGATGCTCAATACTTACATTTTCTGTTTTTTAAGAATTAATCAAAACTATTATAGAATTCTAACTGATAGTACAACACTTATTTCATCACAAGTTGGACAATATTTAATGACAAATACTAAAATAAAAACCAATCACAAAATACACAAATGAAAAGTTTTTAATAACTTGTAGAAAAAAACAGAACCTTTAGATTGATAATCTGAAAAAGTAAAGTTGCTAAAAAAGAGCTTTCTTTTGATGGGTTTATTTTAATCTTTACTTTCAATGTTATACGATCAGAAAAAGTATTATAAAATGTAGGCATATATCCCACATTTCACTTGCTAGGCTACCACCACTTATGGCACTGATATGCTCATTATGGAATGTTTTCTCAATACATCATTTAATACTTAGGTAAAATGCAGTGTTCCAAAGACCCGTTTTATTAACAACATTGAAAGTCTTCTGTACTCTATATTTCAAAGAAATTAAATGTCTAAAAAAGCTGAAAAATATACGTTACAATACAATGTAGAACATGAAGTAGCTGTGTTGGTTTATATTTTAATAACTAAAAGAAAAGGACAAAAAGTTCACACAAACAACCATCAATGCACAGTACATTCTGATTTAAAAATGCCTTAAAGACATTCAATACTTTTAAATGTTTCATAACATACGCTAACCATGTTTTCCCATGGTAAGTTAACAGTTCAATAACAGTGTTGTACACAACCACTATGGAAGCCCCTTTATGGGGCAAGCTGGGTTGCCCTCACGATTTTAATTGTAGAAAATACGAACAATAACGTCTGCAAACAATAGTTAAAATAACTTCCTATGCTTTAGAAACAGCATATAATCTCTTTGACTTATGCAGGCGTTTTCTTTTGCAAAGATCCTGACTGGGAGGTTAACAACCTCTCAGCCATTGTTCTTGCATATCTAAGTCGTGAAGCAAGTTCCCGAGAACATCCAAAGTCTTCAATAAGCTTCAACCGAAAAGTGCGGAAATCTTTCTTTTCATCAATATACGTAACAGCTCCCATTAGAGGGCAAAGAATAATTTTAGTGTGATCTTGAAAGAAATTTATCTGAAAAGTAAAATACAGAAAAATAATTATTTTTAAATATATATATATATATATATAATTTTTCAAATTAGAAATCTAAATATGTGCTCATCATTCATCACAATAATGGTGACAACACATCCTGCGTGTCCGTGCTGATTTTTGTGATACCTAAATTAGAACACAATTTTCATATTCTAAAGTTCCTATAACAACAGTAATAATAAAAAGGTAAAAGAACATAAATTCACAACATTAAATTAATGATGGAAAAAAGAAGTTTCCTAAATTTCCCCAAAAAAATATTAACAGCTACTGTCTTGAAGATGATTTAATTGCTAGTTATTCGAAAAGAAAAGCATTTCATGCAAAATTAAGTTGTGTAATGATATAAAATGATTTTATTGTTTCAAATAACTGTACTTACTTTAAAATTTGAAGTAGAAAAATTTTATTTTGCTGAAGAGTTGATTTTAATCCTATGTTTACAGGTGGGGGTCAAAGTGCACATGCCATGAACTTTTCCAGAATGCCATTCAACATTGTATTACACATCTAATTTCAGAGTTACCTTGCAAATATAGTAACAGTTATTGGTACTGGAGACTACATATCAGATAAAGTATACAGGGATACTAAAAGAAACTGTAGATATGCATTTTGGAGGTTCTAAAGGTTTATCAATTAATTTGTAAGAGGAACAAAAGTATTTTTCACATGAACATCACCTTGCACTCTAACTTTCAGAGTACAAGTCAGACTGATGTCATCAAATCACAGAGATATCCTGAGTACAAATACTTTCGTAACACATCAGATCTTTGTGTACATTTTACTAAAAGCTTGTCATATCTCTTGTAGTAGATTTGGAATTATAGTCAATATTCCTTCTCCAATATGGGGTCAGTTCAATGTACTACTCTCATGAAGATTCAGTTAAAAGACATTTTACTTTTAAGAATGGAAAATTTACTGTCAAAATAAATCATTTTCTTACAACTCATGCCTACTAATTTTTATAATTGTTGAAAAGTAAAGAAACCATGAGGCAATAATATTAATTAAAAGAAAATTTAGTTCATTCTTTTCACAGTGTACATATGCTTGAGTTATTTCTTTTTCATGTATATATTTATATAATGACAATGAAAAACAATAGTGCACCTGTAGGGTTCCATTTGTAAGATGAAGGACAATTGCACTCCTCGTACGAAACCAAGATCGTAAGTATGGAAGCCGAATCAGTTCGTCTCCTTCCCTTGGAACAATACTCTCTCCAGCCTTCAGGAGGTGCTCATTCATGTAGTTGCAGAAGTATTTCAAAAGCGTTATTTTCTTGCTTAATGTTTCAGGAAATTTTTGAAGAGTGTAGTAACTTTCTTGTCCATCTCTTTCGATGTACTGGACATTACTATTTAAAGTAAATGTTGTTTAGTATGAATATCTCAAACTCTAAATCTGAAGTTAAAATATTACACTTAAACTTTCAAGCATGACAATGTAGGAAAACTATGATAATCTCATTGCATTTAATTACCTTGAAAGTAATAGGTGAGAAACAGAATATTTTAATTAGTATAATAATATTACAACTGATTAAACAAACGGAATTTTAACTATCTAAACTGATTAAACAAACAACTTGACAATGTAGGAAAACTATGATAATCTCATTGCATTTAATTACCTTAAAAGTAATAGGTGAGAAACAGAATATTTTAATTAGTATAATAATATTAAACCTTTAATATTAAAACTGATTAAACAAACAATTTAACTATCTAAAACTGATTAAACAAGCAACTTTAACTATCTAAAACTAACAAAACAAACAATTTTAACTATCTAAAACTAACAAAACTGATTAAACAAACAATTTTAACTATCTGAAACTGATTAAACAAACAACTTGACAATGTAGAAAAACTATGATAATCTCATTGCATTTAATTACCTTGAAAGTAATAGGTGAGAAACAGAATATCTTAATTAGTATAATAATATTAAACCTTTAATATTAAAACTGATTAAACAAACAATTTTAACTATCTAATACTAACAAAACTGATTAAACAAACAACTTGACAATGTAGGAAAACTATGATAATCTCATTGCATTTAATTATCTTAAAAGTAATAGATGAGAAACAGAATATTTTAATTAGTATAATAATATTAAAACTACATTCATTCTTTAAAACAATGCATAAAACAAAATGTACAATATGTATTAAATCAAAATAGTTTATAAACAAAAACTTCATCATAAGGCCTACTTTCTACCGAGTGTTTCAGGTACACAGACTTACAGTTCATCAGCTAGTAGAATGATACGAGTGGAATCATTAAAAAGGACTCCTACACTATTATCACAGAGTTGGTAACCTAGTCCGTACTTGTCTGTATAGTCCACCCACTTACTGACCCAGAAGATGGGGATGGCAGCAGGGTCTAATGCCTCATCTAAACAGTAAAAATAAAAATTTATTAACACTTCACAACAGTTAAAAATGCACAAAGGAGCACATTTAACACCTTAAAAAAGACCACATAATGGAGTATACATGTAAATTTAAGATTTTAACTTTATGAAGACCTACACTGGTTGAGCAATTTAATAGAATCCTCATACAATTACATGCTATATGATTGATTGGATTTATCAATGCAAAGGTGTACTCATATCATGGTCAGGTAAGACAATAGGAAGAACAAGATTCTCTTAAGATTTTCAACAAGACATGAAAAGAGGAGTGTCATTATCTTGGGCTGGCCGTTTAAAAATAATCCTACATTCATTCATTCTATGAGCAGTGAGCACATCTACAACTAAAAACTGCACTAACTACTGGTGATAATTGGAGAGACGTAAAATGAAGAAGACTTTTAAACCATGTCTTAATTCAAGTGGTCAGGACTAGACTAACTTCAATGGTAGAAAGTGAAGTAGATTATAGAAACTGTCATATAGCAGGTAAGAACCAGTCTAAAATTAGCATATCTCAAATGTAAAAAAGGAAAGTAAAACAACTATGGGTAACCATATAATGGAAGCATGTGATGTAAACTGAAAAATTGCAATTCAGCCTTTTCTGTAGTGTTGGTAGAATAAAAGTACGGAGAAAACCATAAGACGTGCTTAGCCCTGTTTGTGTGATGTAATAGAACAGAAAAAATTCTCAAGGCAGAGGGTGGCTCCTTTGGATTATTTTATAAAAGTGAATGACATCCCATAGGTATCTGAACATTGTTGGTGATCATGTCAACCCCACAATACGGTGCATAGGTAAGAGACCTTTTGATAAGATAATAACTGTGTCTATGGTGGGTAATGAAAACAGCAGAAAATGAAAAAGAAAGAAAAATTCAGGTATCAAAAATGAAAAAATAAATCAGGAACTTTTAAAATAATATTCCAATATGATAATCATATAACTAATCCATCACATGTTCTTTAATTGTAATTCGCAGCACACTTACACAGAAGCCAAATGATTTCAGCTTTTAGGGCATCTTCTTTTGGAACATAACATGTAAGAGGACTTTTTTTTTGTAGAAATCACAAGTGGTATAACAGTTTCTCTTTTAACGTTTTTTTGAGCAAGGCTTAGTGTAGCTTGATTTCCTCTTACAGATGCACATTTTATATGCTTTACAGTTTTTGCATGATGCAGTGTGTCCAGCCACTTGTGCCAGAGGAAATTCACAGGTTCATTGGAGGAAAATATAAGAATATCTGGAGGAAATACTGGGTATAATTGTCAAAATATGGTATCAAATAAGGCCAGTGTATCACATTTGAAATTAAATTATGGGAAGACAAAGAAAAATAGTAGAAACAAATATTGTATGGTGACCTCCTCCACTCCTTATAGTCACTCCAGCTATACCATTTTGTTCACTTTAAAACAAACATGAAGGCTGACTACAAAAACATGTAAATAGATTCAAAATCTGTACCAACATACATGTTAATATTCTATTGGAATAAGCTAACAATCTGATGTGGTACAAATCACGTGTATGAGTCACAGTTACTAATATTTTTGTCATATTTAATACATGATGCATTCAATTTTTAGTTGACTCAATTAATCTATAGTAAAAATATATAAATTGTAACATTTAATGAGTAAATATTCAAACATTAACATAATATTCTTAATCTCAGTTGTGTAAGCAAATATCAGTGATACTTAAATACAACTAATACAATTTATTTTCATAGCACATGTCAACTAGACTAGAGCAACAGAAAAAATTAAACTACAAACAGTTAATCTGAGTTAAACAATCTTTATAACACAGACTTATCACTGCAACAGTCTCTGAACATATAAGGTACTGCACATTTCTCTATAGGCTACTTACTCTGGAGCTCACTATTAACTATAATCTTCTTCCAAATCTACAAGTAATTCTGCATAAAGTATTCTACATCCTAACAAATATTCTTATTTATACATGTTTTTTTGCTGGCAAATCCAGATCCTTTGCTAATATATCAAAAAAATTTCGTTTTGTTTTTTCCAGGGTTTGCCTTGATTCCATTGTTGACTTGGGGACTTTTGAGGTCTTTTTTGCATTTCTTCTGACCTGCCTCGATCATTGCATGAGCTACACTAGCAGCAGCAAAATCTCTTTTCCTTGATAACTTTAACCAATTTGTCATTCCCTTCATTTAAAAGCTTCTCATTCACACTTAATGAATCCTTTGCTTCTTTTTCTTTGGCACACAATTTTCTTCTTCTTGAGAAAGTGCAGCATTGTCTTTTACCAACTTTTGTTTTTGTTCCTTCCTCTTATCTGCCTCCTCCTTTTTTCTCTTTTTTTTTGCTTTCATTACTTCCAATCTTTGTTCATAAGCAGTGTAAGCAACCTTGACAGCAAACAAAAGCTTTTTAGTAATTGGCACATGCTCTGGCCTTCCCATTTCTGGATCAAAGAACCTCACAGAACCTTTAGCTATCCTAACAGCATTGGTGGTTTCTTCACTCACTGATGCTCACCAAATACTTATTCACAGAGAATCCCCTCTCTATGTCTGCATTTCCATGAGCTAGAATCAGTGAAAATTTCACACCCTTCCCCAGTTTGGAGTATTTAGGTTTTCCTATCAATTCTAATCTGTGCAAGAACATTCCTTCAGTAATGATCAATATGTGCCTCACTCACATTTTCTGAATGGTCCTGCCTACTGGCCTTCTCAGTTAAGTACAGATTCCACTCATCAAGTACTTCTACAATGTCTGTTTCATTGACATTGGGAAGCTTTCTTGCCAGCCTCTTGATGGAATGAACTGTTCCACTTTTCATTGGATTCAGGCATCCTATGTACTTCAAGATACTTTCTGAAACAGGCAGATGGTTAATTATGTAGCCGACAGCAGATGAATAAAAGGCGCGCATTCCTAGCAACATCTTATGCTTGCTACTGCTGAACAGCTTTTGCATGGCTTTTCTAGTTGGTTCACCAATAATCACATGTTCATCATCCATCTGGTTCTTAACATCTAAATGCTTGACCTCACACAAATCAGTGCCTTCCTTTGTTCCAACTACCTCTGGCTTTACATACTGCAACATAAGCCTCCTAACTAATTCACTGAGTTTATCATACAGAATGTGAATTTGTGGACTTTGTGATTGGAAAAGCTCCAGGAATGAGTGGAAGAGTGGAGCCACTGCCTGGATGAAGTAAAGCAAAGTCAGGGTTTCTGGACTAAAAGCTGCACTCTTGGGGGAATTTCATCTTTTCTCTTTCATATACTTATCAATGGCCTCCCATTGTTCAAGAATTCGATCCACAACAGGTGACAAAGTAAGCCACCTAGATGACACATGGTGTTGAAACATGTACTCTTCAACACCAATATCAACTTGCACATTGTTGTAATCCTCCTTGCTTGCTGTAGATTGCTTAAAGAAAGTAAACAGGTCAATTGCCAGTTCATCAATGTCTTGTAAAAGAGTTTCCTTTGCCTGTCCAAATGCATTGTCGACAGTGTGAATATAGCAGGAACCAATGTCTATCAGACCAGGATGGCCACTTTCAAGAAGAGAAGAGCTAACTGTTCTCCAGATTGTTTTATTGACATTTGGTCCATCATTACATAGTGTCATAAGAAGATTTCCATTCAGTTTATCATCATAGAGAGACTTAAGGATAGCCTGGGTTACATCTTTCCCTTTGGCATGTCCAAACATCAATCATTTATAGAAACAAACTTGGACTTCATCCTTAAGTGTTGACCAGTATCTGATGTGCAAGTCAAGCTGTTTCTTCCCTTGAGCTGTTGTTGCTTCATCAAAATGAAGTGTGAATGGAGTCTTGGAATCATTTACATCAGCAACCAATGCTTCAGTAAAATATGGGTCTATCCCATCCGATAACATGCATGATACCTTCATCCCTGCCATGTGGAATTTTGATGCAGCTGGACAATCAAACATAGCTTTGAACATGTCAGATATATCATCACAAGAGTGAAAGCTATAATTGCTAGCAGCCACTTTTAAACACAATATTGTTTCTGCAACAAACACATCATCATTTACAATTTTGACCTTCATCGAAGGTTTCTTTTCAGTTGACTTGGTCTCCTTGAAACACAACTTCATTTGACATGGTGTCAAAGCACTCTTAGCCATCTCCCCTTAGCATGCTGCTTTAATTGTTCTAGTTCAGATCCATCACATGCTATTTCCTTTTTGCACAAAACACAAAATGCTTTAAAGTCATCAGAGCCCTTTTTGAACCAATGTATATTATGTCCATTGTTGCCATTCTTTTGCAGCCAGTGTTCTTGAAATTTGGTCTTTCCAGCAGGTATATTCAATACTTCAGACTAAAATCTCACTGCATACGTCTCTGAAAAAAGAAAGTTGTCATTATTTGAAATCAACAAGATAGTTAAGTAAAAAGGTTGCCGTTTCTTCAACTCTCTGAAAACAAAAATATTAAGTGACCACGTTCAGCTGAAATTAAGTAATAGCAAAACAATAAATCAAATATGCATGTATAAGAAAATATTTAACCATTTGAAACACTATATCGTGCTTCAAATATTCATCAGTAATATATTTTATATCTAAAGCTCATAATCCAACCCAACCCCAAATATTGCTGCTCTGACTAATTACTAGATAGCAATAGTGAGTCACAATAAGAATTATTTTTTCAAGAAAATATTCCTTACCTTAATGACTGATGAACACGGCTTCCTTGAACATATGGATACAATTGTGAATATGGATGATTCAAGTTTGTTCTCCAGAGAAAAAAAATTCTACAATAACTTTATTATACTTTCATTTTAAATAAATTTTGGATGTATGCAACACAGTTAGAAGGCTTTTATCACCTTTGAAATTAAAATAACAATTAATGTTATACATAACTGCCACATATAATAGTAGTACTTTTTGGGGGATCTAATTGGCAGTTTTAATTTTAAATATTAAAGAATCCCCAAGACCTGAAAAATATAGGAATACATACAAAAATATAAGAAATATAGGAACACTGGATGCCCTGCATGATGTAGTAGGCATTTTGACCATTACATTGTCACATACCAGATTTTTGAATTTACAAAATGTGCATTAAAAACTATATTGTGTGCTCCCAGTTATACACCAACTATTTAAATGGTCACTATTTACTGTCATTGATATCCAACCATAAAGTATGAAGTTTTGCTTTCTTCTTTCGCACTGTCAGCTATTATCTCTTTGTGCTAACTATTATACCTGTATAAGAAACACAGACATTCAATCTTGGCTAGAAACTTTATTCTGAATGATATATCCTAGAAGACATGTGACCATACAATACAAATACTAAAAGGACATGAAAAAGGGATACATTGTACAGAGTTTGTGGGTAATGTGCCCACAAAGAATATAGCAACAGATATATAACTTTCTATTATTAATAATTACTAATAGATGACTTTTTAGGGACATATGTGATTAAAGTATTTCACAAGCGGTAGTTTTCTGGCAAGCTAGAATACACAAAGCACTTTATTTATAGCAATATAAAACTGACAAAGCTTTACTCAGATACCTCTTTATACCATTTTAGAATAATCCAAATTTTCTGGTACAAAATATCCCATAGTTTTCATAATCAATATGTGTTAAAAAGACTGGTCTCCATTTAATATGAAAGGTACTGCACTCATTAATAAACATGTCCTTGTATGCTTGTGATGGAAATTGATACAAACTACAGATCATAGATTGGGGCATACCAAAGCTATTGGATATCAGATGCTCTAAAATGATTTCTGATTTGAGCAGTATTTGGTAACTTTAATCAGCTTAGAGTGAAAATAAAAAAATGTGTGTGTGTGTCAGGAAACTCCAAAAACAAGAATCTGTAGAAGCACTATAATAAACCAAATTACCATGCTCGCATTTTCCGAAATTCATTCAAAGAGGTCAATGGTCACTTCAATTACCTTCCTTTCCCAACATAATCACTCAATCACATTAAAATTTTTTTTAGATGAACCATAATCTATTGCAAACTTCTCAGAACACCAGCGTTTCCCAAACTATGGGTCGCGACTCACTGGTGGGTCGCAAGTGGAATGTTAGTGGGTCGTAAAAAGTTATACTAGAATTACGCATTAGCTTCGATTAAACGCTATCTGTCGAGATAGTTCAAGACTCG